TATGGCTCTGAACTAGTGAAATGTTGTTATTTAATGTGAGCTTCTTTACTGTTCAATTTTATTTTTCTTTACTTATCTTGGTAAAATATCTGGACAGTGAGATAATGCATCAAACACTAATCTGCCATGTGAGCTATATCTGAATGGTCGAGATCCTGGCCACAGTCCACATATGTGTAACACATAAGTCAGCAGATTTTATTGTTCTTTTAATACAATAATCAGTTTAATGCTCTTGTAATATTTTAATATATCCTATTGCTAGTTCCAGGTGGTAGACTTTACCCATTGCCTCAAGTTATTTGATTTATGTGTTAATTCACAATTAATAATTAAATAGTTCCTACTCAAGTTGGAACTAACTTCAGGATTTCTGTTGTGTTTTTGATTGTTACCTGTTTCTTAACCATACAGGAAATCTTCTAAAAAACAGGAATTTTCTTGTTGAGCTCCAGGACCAGAAAAGCAGATGGCGAAAACAGAATAATAGCCTGTGTCAGGGGAGTGTGCTTGCTCCATCAATATTTAACATTTACACAAATGATCGGCCACTGCCAGAAAGGACAGATAGTTTCATCTATGCTGATGATTGAGCCATCACCGCCCAAGCAGGGAGCTTTGAAATGGTTGAACAGAAGCTCTCCAAAGATTTAGGTGCTCTTACTGACTATTACAGGGAAAACCAGTGGATTCCTAATCCATCTAAAATGCATACATGTGCTTTTCACCTTAAGAACAGTCAAACATCTTGAGCTCTGAGGGCTACCTGGGAAGGAATCCCACTGGAGCATTGCAGCACACCAAAATACCTGGGAGTTACCCTGGACCATGCTCAGACTTACAAGAAGCACTGCTTGACTATCAAGTAAAAAGTGGGTGCTAGAAATAATATCATATGAAAGCTGACTGGCACAACCTGGGGATCACAAGCAGACACAGTGAAGACATCTGCCCTTGTGTTTTGCTGCTGAATACACATACCCAGTGTGGAACACATTGCACCATGTTAAAACAGTGGATGTGGCTCTTAATGAGACATGGCGCATTATCACAGGATGTCTACACTGGAAAAATAATGCTTAGCCGGTATTGCACCACCTGACATCCTCTGGGAAGTAGCAACCAATAATGAAAGGACCAAGGCAGTGACATCTCTGGCTCATCCTCTCTTTGGATATCAGCCAGCACACCAACACCTTAAATCAAGAAATAGCTTTCTGAGATTTACAGAGATACTTGCAGGAAGACCTCAGCAAGCGAGAGTCCTAAAGTGGCAGGCTAAAATCCGGAACCTCAATCCATGGCTGATATCAAATGAGAGACTCCCTCCTGTGCACACAGAAAACTGGGCGACTTGGAAGGCGCTGAACAAACTGCGCTCTGGCACCATGAGATGCAGAGCCAATTGTAAGAAATGGGGCTACAAAGTGGAGTCCATGGCATTTGAGTGTGGAGAAGACCAAACCACAGACCACCTACTACAATTCAGTCTGATCCCTGCCACATGCACAATGGAAGACCTCTTACAGAAACTCCAAGTGGCCATCTATTGGTCAAAGGATATTTAGTATAATGCCAAGTTTTTAACTTTGTGTTTTTAAATACATTACAACTGTATCCTCTACTAGCTTTTGATGTGATAAATATGTAAATACTATATTGCAAGCCATTTTGCAATTTGGAGATGGATGGGATATTAAATAAATAAATGAACACTTCAATTGTATCTCAAGAGAGAGGAAAAATGTGTTAGTGCTTCTTCAAGGGAACAAAGAGAATAAAGGGACAAGAGAACAAAGAAAAAGAAGTCTCCTTCTCTAGATGTCTTCAGAAAGAGACTAGGTGACTACCTGCTGGGGATGCTCTAACTGGAGATTCTGCAATGAGCAGGCGGCTGATTCTATGGTCGATGAGGACCCTTCCATTTCTTTGATTCACCTGGAAGTATCCTATTCATTGTTGTGGCACCATATTATGTATTCTAAAGATTACTGCAAGGGCAATTGTCAGTGCTAAAACTTTCCTAATGTATATGTTTGGACAAAGTCAATTCATATGATTCTTGCTCCTGTTTCCATCTCAATAATTTTTACATCAACGTAGCCATATTAGTTACAACAGCTAAAGAGTAGGCAATCATCTGAACATAAGTAAACACTTGGGACAGAATACATTGAGGGAGTTGCAAAAGCAGACTCTATGTGTCATTTTATCACTCTTTGTAGTAATAATAGTAGGTAAATCTAGTTGCAGAAGCTGTAATGTTAATAGCACATTTATGAAAAGAAAGAAAAGATCATGGGAATTTATTCTTAAGACAACACATTTTGGTTTTAATTTATTCATTGTTTGGGCAGAGAAATATGAACAGTGTAGTCTGTTGTTACTCAGTGTGGAATTAGTGCCTGTTCAATTCTGAATTAAAATCTTGGCATGTGTTAACCATATGGAATAAATCAAAGGCTATAAATCCACATTTGTATTTGGAAAGATTTTTTTTGTTTCAGCAGTCTAATTGAAATGTTGGAATTTTTAAAAAGCAGGGGATAACTTTTTTTCTTAAGATGGGATAAACCAGCAAGCAGTGCATTTTATGGCAACCAAGATAAAGCATTTCCAATCTTATTTCAGGATGTTTATCATGCAATTGCCATATCTCATTTGTGGAATTTTATTGAGCAGAAAAGAGCCAATGTTAGTTTTCACTTTCATTGTTCATTTTCATATAACAGAAAATCATGTGGAGCTGGAGCTGATAGAGGGAACTCATCCGCCTCTCCCTGGATTTGAACCTGCAACCTGTCGGTCTTCAGTCCTGCCAGCACAAGGGTGTAACCCACTGCGCCACCAAAGGGGGGAATGGGAGATGTTGATCAAAACATCTGGAAAGTATTTTCCAGAGTTTCATTAATGATTTCAAAATGCTAGAGCTGTTACATACTTATAACAAAACCCTCTCCTATTAACAGTAGCCTTGTGGAGTCTAGAAAAGCAACCACATATTTATCACAATGTGCAAGTTTGATTGGAGCCATTAGAACCAAATCCTTTGGCCACTAGTCCAGAATGGCATACAAAGCATCAAAACATGTGGTATATAACTGGAATATTAATACAAGCAAGCATCTGCAGTCTACTGAAGTACACAGATATTTATAAAAGCACATCTCAGGGTAAGGACCTTATACCATGTGTATTGGGGTCGGAGGGTAGCATAATGAAATCATGGTGTTTAGTCCATTATTGTTAGAAATTGAAAGGTTATGCTATATATTACTTATCACATGTCTTCAGAATTTTCTGGTTTCCCCATTGTTAACCATTTTCATCCTTATCCCACGAGTGAGTGGATTGTCCACCCTCTCCTCCCCCTTTTTTTTAAAAAAGCAGAAAATATCAAAAATTCAAATAACATGAAATTTAGCAAGCTAACAAGGTTGTAATATTTCTTAGTTTTAAGTATATATACATATAAATTACTGAAATGGATTGTGCAGCCACATTACAGCACAGGACTGGGGACTCACTGCTGGTAGAGACTGCCCAAAGGTCAGCCCATTTGCCCACGTCATCCTATGCGTATCAATGCAGGCGATTCTGACGACTTCCATCCCATGTGTTTTTAGCAGTTTAGAAATGGAATGTAACACACCCCTAAGGATGCTGAGATGATTTCTGATAGTCTTCTCCCCGCTCCCTTTTTGACACTCTTTTTAACAATTACATGATGAATCCTGACAAGCGCAGGCAGGAAGTTCCCCTGCATCATGGGATGGGCTCCTTCGCTTTCCATTCAAAAATGGATTTAAACTGTTTAAAAACCGGGAAGGGGGAGTGTCTCGTGGGATAAGGTCCTAGGTGGACATATCAGCACATAGACAATAGCTCATAGACAACAGCATCTACACATGGGACCTCAACACACTAGAGAATGTGATGAATCCACTTTAAATCTGGTTACTGCCTTCTGCAGAATTCTGGGGTTTGTAGTTTAGGGAGGAGCCTTTAACAGCCTCACTAAGCTACAAATCCCAGACTTCTGCAGGAGACAGAAACCAGATTTAAAGTGGATTCATTCTCTAGCGTGATGAAGTTCTTGGAACTATCTCTGCTAAAACAATAATGTAGCTGTGCTTTCATCTACATTTCTGTCCCCTTTCTTACAATTCTTGCAAATATTTCATGCCTAGTGCCACAATTTTAGGAAATCATCATATTTATTCCTTTCTGAAGTGAATTCCTTTTGAAGGGATGTGGACTTTTCTGTTTAAAAAGCTTCAGTAACTGTGGATTCTGCCTGAAAATGATCATAGGCAAGGTAAAACTGGTACCTGTCAACTTAATATTAAAATACAGGCCTTGGAGGTGCATATCAAATATGAGTATTTTCTACAGTTCTCCAGTAACATGAGGATAATCTAAAACTGGGGAATTCACACAAGGCATTTTTCCAGGTGGAATATCTCAGAATATTATCCTCTCACCTCATATATGTGGATTTTAAAAAAAAAAAACCAGTTATCTCTAGGAACAGTGATATGTCTGATATAGCATCCACACGAGCATGAATATACGCAATATATAAATTCACACATATATATTATGTTCATATATATTCATATCCATAGATCTATTGATCAATTTATCTATCCATCCGTTCATATTTTGTGTGTGCATGTGTGTACGCATGTATGCATACTGTGTGTGTTTGTACGTTTCCATCAGATTTGCCATAATTTTTGTTCTTGCGCTGTGCCACACTTGAAATGCAACCCCGAGCCATGCACGCTGACAGACTCCATTAGCATTAATGCTGTTCTCTTATCTTCTGCTCTCGCTCTTTTCCCCCGTTCTCTCCCTCCCTCCCTCCCTCCTCTGCCCCCCTCCTTTCTTTTCTGATGGTTCACTGACACAGTTGACAAGGCTGACACCGCCAATCAGCTTCTACTCAGCAAGGTCACTGTTCAGACTTGACTTGTGATTGGCTGCTGTGCTTCAGTGTGTTATTAGTGTCTGATTTGATCGGAGGCAGGGGGTGGTCTCCAATCAAACAGAGAAAAGGTCTTGGAGAAGGTAATTAAATCCTGTCAGAGGCAATTATCGGTTCCAGGGCCGTGACTCTGGCACTGAATGCAGATGAACTGACGCTCCATTCTTGTAGAAATTCAAGAGGGCTTCTGGCACAGATCAGTTAGACATAAAGGAAACAGCAGGCTTTTTGCAAACAATGCCGGTCTGTATTTTAACCTTTCTACACAGTTTCCCCCTCCCCTCCCCTCTTATTCTTAGGGCCTGGCTACCTCTGAAAACCATTTTTCCTCTTTCTTTCGCTCCTCACATTCTAATTAAATTCTTGTCAAGACCTACTCCCCCTTTCCAAAATATACATAAGGACAAATTATGGAGAACAACGACTTTCTCCAAATATGACACGCTGAAAGGGCCCTTCATCAAGTCAAAAAGGCCTTGGGCTATTATTATTGCTGCTGGTGCTGTTTTTGCTTTGGATCTTGTCCCTGCATCAAATATTGCATCTGGAATCTATTGCAGGTTGCAATCGTATGTGCATTTACCTGGAAATCAGACTTGGCAATATCAGTGTGACCCGTTTCTAAGTTAACATGCACAGAAACATGCTGCAAATTTACTTATGCATTCTCTCAATGCAACACAGCCAGCAAAGATTTTATCTTTTGACTGCCTTAGCATCTTTAACAAGCTGGCCAATACTACAAAGGCCACACTGAAATTACGATGGATGTGTTCAAATCTCAATTTGACTATTTTCTTTAGGAAGAAAGTATAAAAACCAAAGTTCAAAATGCATTTTACAGCTGGGATTTTAAAAGACTGAAAGCAAAATTGAGTCATTATTTGGAACAATGGGCTATGATTTTAGAATGATAGAATCATAGAGTTGGAAGAGATTCCAAAGGTCATTCAGTCCAACTGTATCCTGCCATGCAGGAAAAGTACAATCAAAGCACCCCCAAGAGATGGCCATCAGTCTCTGCTTAAAAACCTCCAGAGAAGGAGACTCTACCATACTTTGAGGCAACACACTCCACTGCTGAACAGCTTCAACTGTCAGGAAGTTCTTCCTAATGTTTAGGGGGAATCATTTTTCCTGCAATTTGAATCCATTGCTTTGTGTCCAAAGTCTCCACAACAGCAGACAACAAGCTTGCCCCCTCTTCGGTGTGACCTTCTTTCAAATATTGAAACTTGCTTCTCATGCTCCCCACCTCAGCCTTCTTTTCTCCAGGCTAAACACACCCAGCTCCTTAAGCCATTCATCATAGGATTTCCAGATATTTGCTCATTTTGGTTGCACTTCTCTGAACAAATCAATATCCTTCTTGAATTGTGGTGCCCAGAACTGGACATAGTAGTCCAGGTGGGATCTGACTAAAGCAAAATAGAGTGGGACTGTGACTTATACTAAATGATTATACCAGTTTTAGCATGGCAGTTTTTTCAGGGGTTTGGGATTTGATAATAGTTCATTAGAGAGTTAATCATGTTTATGTCCATTGAAACCACTGGAGTTAAAGGAGCCCCCAGTGGTGCAATGGGTTAAACCCTTGTGACGGCAGGACTGCTGACCGAAAGATCTGTGGTTCAAATTTGGGGAGCAGGGTAAGCTCCTATCAGCTCCACCTTCCCATGTGGGGACAACAGAGAAGCCTCCCACAGGATGATAAAACATCCAAGCATCACCTGGGCAACATCCTTGCAGACGGCCAATTCTCTCATACCAGAAACAATTTGCAGTTTCTCAAGTTGCTCCTGACATGAAAAAAATGCCATGGTTGGGAAGCAACAAAGCACAGCCACCATCACCAATTTTCAAACAGGTATTGCAAAAGAACTGGACCAGCACCATGATGGACAAAATATTGCATTGGATCTGTATTTAAGTTGACCCCGGTTTTTGGGGTTAATTTTTTTTTACTTATACATGACTATACATGATGTAGCACTAGTGGTATTTTTTCAAGCTTTTTAATATACACAATTTTTCCTGAAAAGGACGAAGCAAGATGTGAAGATACCATCACCAGGTGCTTTGAGGGAAGGGGCAGTGCTTGTTTCTCCTGTTGCCTCTGCCTCAGCTCCTGTGGACTTACTCCTGGCAGAACTGAGGCCCTGACTCTGGAGCTCAAGGCCAGCAACAACACCTGCTTGCCTCAGAGGCTGGGACATAAAAAGAACCATGCCTGCAGGGCCTCAGGTCAAAGCAAGATGTGAAGGACCATCACCAGGAGCTTTGGGGGAAGGGGCAGCGTTTGTTTCCTTTGCTACCTCAGCTTCTAGGAACTCACTCAGCTTCTGAGGACCGCTTGGTACTGCTGGACTCTATCTTGACTGGCCTCCATTTCAGCATCCTTGGGTCAACAGAGAGATACCAACATTTGTTTCTTCCAGCCATGGCCCTTGATTCACCTGAGCCCTCTCTTGAGTGAACACTGCCATCTCATTCTTCCCCTGATGGAATTTCTGCTCTGTTAAAACGATGATTTAATATGTTTTATTGCATTTATATGTTTTAATCGTTTTATAATTTGATATGTTATATTTATTATTTGTTGTATGATGCGGCATTGAATGTTGCCATAATCTGTAAGCCGCTCTGAGTCCCCTTCGGGGTTGAGAAGAGTGGGGTATAAATACAGTAAGTAAGTAAGTAAGTAAATAAAAAAATATTTATCCTATGTACATTTATTTATTATTTGTGTACAATTATTCTGTTTCTTCCAAAAAATAGAGTGAAGATTAAAATTAAATTGTTCTTTGAGGTTAAAAATGTCAAACATTATTTGACAGTGTTCATGAAATTATTATTATCATCATTATCCACCATTCTCTGCCTTCTACAAGTGAATCAGGAAAACAAGGTAATGAAGTAGTTGTTTCTATCAACTCTGAAAGGCTATCTTTGATTATTTCAAAAACAGGATTTTCTCTAACATAAATTTCAGGAACTCACTAGCCAATCATGTTATTTTTTCTTTCCCGTACATGTCACATTTCAAATTCATTTTGACAGCTAAACAATGTTTCCTTTATTTCATTATAGTTCTCTTATCTGGAGTCAAGGCTTCATGACAATTTCAAAGAAAGGAAAATAAAGAACGATCTTCTGGCAGATAGGTACCTTATTTTTTAAGAGATCTCTTGCAGATATGTTGGTAAACACTCCAGCTGTGTTTCATTTGATTTAAAGACAATATCCAGCTCTGATAGTTTTATAACCAGACCTACTGCAGGTTCTGTGTTTGTGTCTCCACTTTGGAAAAACTACATCAAAACAAGGTTTTAGACCTATGCTGTTATAGTAAAAAAACAAAAACAACAACAGATTATTTGAAACTTTTTTCTTCATTTCCACAAGAGCTTTTGGTCTAAATTCACGTTCTTTATACTGTGCCAGATTATTGGTCCATCTAGCCCTGAACTCTCTGCACCAGGATGGTACCTTCCAAATGTTTTGGCTATAACTTTCATTATTTCTGTTGATTACTTGAGCTGAAAGATTGGTCTAAAACAGGGATCCCCAAACTAAGGCCCACAGGCCAGATGTGGCCCTCCAAGGCCCCATCCTAACTTTAGACTGAGGGTCGCCCTATGTCTGTAACAACTTGGAGGCATACAACAACAATAATAATCCTATTTAACTTGACTATCTCACCAGCCAAAAGCAGAGCCACATTTCCTATTGAAATACTGGGAAGTTTATGTTGGTCAAAATTGTTCTCCATTTTAAATATTGCATTGTTCTTTCATGTTGTTGTTTTGTTTTGTTTTTTGCACTACATGTGCAGTGTGCCTAGGAATTTGTTTTTGTTTTTTCAAACTATAGTCTGTTCTCTCCCACCCCCCAAACTACTTGAGGGAATGTGAACTGGCCCTCTGCCTAAAATATTTGAGGACCCCGTGTCTAAAATACCTGGAAGGAAGTATCTAGAAGTATACACTGTGGGTTAGCTGATCTTGCTAAGTTCTTTACAGTTTTACTACTTGAGATTCTTTTGACTGAATATGTTCAACTTGAACCTGGGACTTTCAGAATCCAATATACGTGCTCCAGCATGGGATTTTGGGCCCTTGTGACTCCCAGCATGGAAAAGACAGATTTCTGTGATTAAAATCCTATACTTCAGAAACAGTGAATTATAAAAGCGTTAAAGTAAAAACACTGGGATAGTTGAAGACATTCTTAGCTTTTGACACCAGTGTTCAGCCATAAAACCCGCCTCTTCTTTTGTAGGAGTAGTCATCAGTCTCTTTGGAAGGCATTTTCATTTTCCCTTCAAGAAACCTATTACTTGATTGTGCAATACCTGTTACTGCCTACCACTTCCTCACAATAAAGCTATCAAATGGGTAAAGTCTGCCAATAGCCCCTGATTGCACTGCAATCCCAAAACATATCGCAGTGCGATAAGGTCCAAAGTTCTCCAGCTTCTGTGGTGGTATCCACTACTCTCTCCAAGGAAATTGTTTTTTCCCCCCTCCATAGCATTTCACAATAAAAGCAAAAAGGGGATGGAGCAGCACAATGGGAGGGTGGATTTACATTATCCATCTGGAAATGAAGCTTTGCATAGCCGGTGTCACAATTACATGATACCAGTGGCTGTGAGATGTTGTCCATCATCGTGATGGGAAGTAGCCACTACCCCATGCCATGAAAATGCCTCAAGGATAGCAGCTCACATGTGGTAAGGTCCTTAGTCTTAGTCTGCTCGTCATGACATGCTTAAGAAACTAGATAAGGTTTTTTGTACCTTTCAGCTAGTCTGCTGAACGTGTCACTAATATGTATTTTGTTTAATGGTCAGCATGAATGCTCATGCATTTTTCTGAGGAAGCTTGACTTCTAGCCACAGGTTTCTAACTTGTCAAGTCATATTTTTAATGACTAAGATGAAGGGCATGCTTATCAAGTTTGCAGATGATACCAAATTGGGTGGAATAGCTGATACTACAGAGGACAGGATCGGAATTCAAAAGGACCTCAAGAGATAGAGAACTGACCAAAGCTAACAAAATGAATTTCAACAAGAAGTGCAGGATACTTCACTTAGGCAGAAAACATGAAATGTATAGATATAGGATGGGTGATGGCTGACTCAGTCCATGTGAAAGAGATCTTGGAGTCTTAGTGGATAATAAGTTGAACATGAGTCAAAAGTGTGATGTAGCAGCTTAAAAAGTCAATGAGATTTTGGGCTGCATCAAAAGGAGTATAGTATCTAGACTGAGGGAAGTCATGGTGCCTCTCTAGTCTGCTTTGGTCAGACCCCACCTAGAATAATGTGTCCACAATTTAGAAGATATATTGACAAGCTGGAACGTGTCCATAGAAGAGCAACTAAAATAATCAAATATCTGGAGACCATGGCCTGCAGAAGAGTTGACTGAGAAGACATGATAGCAAAGTTTAAATATCCAAAAGGCTGTCATAAGGAAGATGGAGTAGGCTTGTTTTCCACTGCCCTGGAGACTAGGATTCAGAGCAATGGGTTGAAATTACAGGAAAGGAGATTCCACCTGAACATAAGGAAGAATGTCCTGACTGTATGAGCTGTTCAACAGTGGAACTCTCTGTCTCAGAGGTGGCGGAAGCTTTTTCCTTGGAGGCTTTTAAACAGAGACTGAATGGCTCTTGAGAAAAATATTTTTACACTTTACGTGCTCAAGATTTATTGTCTTTCATTATAAACACTTACTTTGTATCCTTGCTGAAACACACTGAGGTAAGGACAACTGTGAGGGATCTAAGCATGGGGTTATAGAATATCTACCATTTAACTGTTTTACCAGTAGATGAACAGTTGGAATGGCATAAGTTCACAAAGGGAGAGGAAAAACATTTTATAATGGTTTTTCCTTTTTTCTTCTTCTACTACAAATAAAACATGTGCAGTGTGCCTAGGAATTTGTTTTTGTTTTTTCAAACTATAATCTGGCCCAGTGTAGAATCCTTCTACAAGTCTATGGAACATAATTTAGGACTTCTTCTTAATAAAGATGGTCACAAATTTTTGTTCTTAGGATTGTGAATGTAAGCCTTGTGCCAACCTACACTGGAGGCTATGACACAAAAAGAAAAATGGAGACAAATTACACTGCCCTTTATTCAAGACCGATTTTTAATGCAGCATCTTAATGAATTAGTCCAGACCTGGTTCAAACACAAATCTACACTGTATGATGAATGCAGATCAATACCACTTTAACTCACATGGTTCAATGCTATGGAATCATGGGGGTGGTAGTTTGGTGAGGCACCAGGACTCACTTGTAGAAAAGGCTAAAGACTTTGTAGAACGACAACTTCTATGATTCTCTAGCACTGAGCCTATAAGCATTGACCTCCTCTCTGTCTGTTATAGCATTGCTTCTGGTCTTTTTGGATGCTCAGTTGGGGAAATAGTTGCTGTGGCCAGCTCCCAAGGCAACATTGGTGCTTTCCCTTCTCTATGACTGACCTTCAACCTGCTCTCAATTTATACATGAGTTTGACTTATGCACTAATATACTGTATATGGTAGCCTAAAGCATCTGTTATTCACCAGCCGCCCCCCATCCAAGTACCAACAAAGGCTGATTCTACTTAGTTCCCCAAATCCAAAAAGATCTGGTGCCTTTAGGGTATTACAACTGGCATACTGCAGAAGCATACACTCCTAGAATTCACTGGACTGTACAGTAACCAGGATTGCTTACATTGCTATGCAGAAGTAGCACTGTGCGTCCTTTTTTATCTTTCTTTCTCTCTCACTGAAAAAAGTGTTGCTTTGGTCTGGCTGTCAGGGCTACCGCAGGCATTTTTCAGCACAGTGACAGGCTTTCTGAGGTTACTTGCTGACATCCTGCTATTCTTTAGTAACACTAGCTTACTGTAAGTAGTGCTTCTTCTAACCTGAGTTTGATTGAGAAAGAGGTAACAAAGCCTGCAGAGCCTGTGAGAAAGGGTCACAGAGGGAAACTGTTTCTATTAACTTCCTTGCCTTTGAAACCTTCTCTTTATGGGTCATGATTTACATTTTTGAGAATGAACTCAGATGAACACAAGCAGCTAACATTGGCTTCAAGGCCACTGCACAGCAGCCTCCTTCAAGAAATGCTTTGCTTTTTCAGTTCATAAGACCAAATGAGGGCAAAAAGAGTGGGGAGACTTGTTCTACTAGCTTTGGAATTATTTTTCACCACACACATATGTATTATGTAGCAGCCTAAACGTTATCTGCCTTCCATTCATTCCCAATTTATGGTGACCCTAATCTGAACCTGTCAAGGGGTTTTCTGGGGTGAGTCATCCAAGGTCACCCAATGGGTTTCCATAGCCAAGTGGGAAATTGAACCCTGGTCTTTAAAGTCAGTCAAATGTTCATACTGTTACACTGTGTTGGTTATCTCCTCCCCCCCCCCCCCCCCCCGTGCACATGCCAGTTTCTAGACACTTTTAAAAGAAAAAGGACACAATATATGACAGAGTCCATCTCATGACAGAGGGGAACTTCCTGCCTATGTCTGTAATGCCTCATTAGAAAAGTGTTTAGTAAGTGTTAGACAAGGGGGGGGGAGGGGAGAAAAGACAGTCAGAGATCATCTTCTGAGCTCAAGAATCGCTACAAAACTGGAGAAAAGGTGGGGAAACACGTTGGATGGGATACATCAAATTTGCCCATGTTGACTCGCTTCAGTGACATGGATTAAAGGCGGTCCCCTACCAAGCATTGACAGTTCTCTCCCAAAATCCTGATTCATGATCCTGGCATGGTCATTATTAAAAATTAATCACAAGAAATAATGAAATTTCAAAATATCTTTGTTTTTCCTGTCATTTCTCCATCATAGTGTTCTTGGCTTTTGAAGTTATGGCACTACTTGTTTGTTTTTTTAAGTTTTAGACTTCCGTGATAGAGAGTACTAAGACTGAGAGAAAAGTCCAGTATCCAAAGTGGTGTCTAGCCTTGGGTCTACTCTAGAGTAGCAGGATTGGAGGGGAAAATCAAGTATCCCCAAAGGTTTTTTTCTCCAGTGTTGTTTGGAGTGGGCGGGATCTGCACTCACTTGTGTGATAAATCTGAAAATGTGATGAGGTTGTAAATATGGCATGTTGGGCTTTGAAGGCAGATGAGGAAGCATATTGATTACCAACAAATCAAATGGTTCTTGCATTTTCTCCCCAGTGTGCATTTCAAATTAATGTTGAACTTTGCTAATGTAATGATACTTTCATCTCATCTTCTCTATTCACCCAGGTTTCTGGGAGATCTGAATAATAATGAATGTGAAGAAATGATTTTCTTTCTATTTATTATGCATTTGTATTTTAAAGGCACCAAGATTTGCCAGATAGGCTAGCTGGTAGTCTAAACACCAGCAACATACTTTCCTCCTTTTATAAGCTTACCTAACAGACCGAGCACGTAATCACAGCATGTAACAACATACAATTTTAGTTGAGCTTAAAAGGAATTCTTCTTGTTCAAGGATATCAGATATGGATATCTAATGACACTGTAGTATTAGGGTGTAATCTTCAATTTGTACATTCTTCCAGGAAAATGAAAAACCAAGGGCCAAACTGTATGTGTGTTAGTCATGCTTGTAAAATAAGCACATTTAATCTGCCTATTTTTACAGGGAGAAAGGAAGCAACTCTTTTGGAAGCAGGTAACAGACAATTTGGAATGAGAAGAGAAGGTCCATCAAAAAGTAGAACAGGACCCCAATCAAGTAAAAGGCAACAGCCTCACAGCTGCTCTTTTTTGCTCCCCAGACTGAAGGATTTAGGTAATACTTATTTGAGTAATTAATTAATAGCTCTCATAGCTCCAAACCATAGATCAATTACTGCTCATCCAAGTATTTTTATTTACAGTACAATCCCCATATCTGTGGAGGATATGTTCCTGGATTTCACATGGATATACGAAACTGCATCTAATAGGAAACCTATTGATTCCATGATTCTGTCATAAGCCCCCTTTATTTGTTCTTATCTAGTCCATTACTGCATGCAGATATTTATTCATGTCTCTCACAGTCTCACCTGGATTTGGAGAAAAGAAGAAGCAGAGCTAGGTGCCATCTTAATATTGTAGCACCTCACTTTACATCACATTTTGGGCAGCACTGGGCTATCAAGGATTCTTTCAAATTTCTTCATGGTCCTGGCTGCAACACTAAAGAAGATTCAATGGTGTTTAGAATGGTTTTACCACCATTATTTGTCCAGTATAATCTGATAGAGATTCAGTTTGTGTTCAGTCATACTTGGCATAAATTATCCTCCAATGGTATTCTAGCTGTCTCCCCTCCTATTTTACAGACCTCTGCTCATGCATAGATTCCTAATCCTCAGTATCCCAATATCTCAGTAGTCAGCACATCTTTTACTCCAAAGATTTCTGTTCTCTTCAGATCTCTTCTATGGCATGTTCCCAATTTCTGTAACTAACTTAATTTTATTATTTATTGTGGCGGAGTGGGTGTTCCCCTCTAAAGGACTATTTTGCACCATATGTTCTCAATTGCCGGCTTAAAAATGATTTAAAATGCCTTCATTTTTTTCTGTACATAAGAAACAAGGATTTTATAAAACATGAATGAGTTGTCTGATTTGTTCCACATTAATAATTACACCAGAGTCTCTTAATGCTTGATAGTCACATCAGTGGATTCCAATACCATCACAAGGTCCAGTGTATTGAATTATTTATTAAATTTAGTCTCAGCTTGAAAGAAAGCTCCTTTCAATAATTTACCAATTTGGCACAATGTGTCCTAGCCTGTAGACTGACTATAAATATGTATGCATATAAATACATTCTGTTTTTGCAAGGGGATTTCCAAACAGTTTTAATGTGCAAAACAAAGAACCCCCCACTGCCCTGTTAGATAGTAAGTACTGTTAATAATATGCAGTTTTTAAAACATACACTTTTTAAAATCCAACAAGAACAGAAGCTATTGTAACAAAAGACTTTGCATACATTTTGATATATGAATTCCATTGATTCATTAACAACTGAATTTAGGACATTGGGTTGGACCAGGCATTTCAACCCCCACTAGTCAAAGCTTTCTTGTGTGAAAGTACCTCTCACGCTATTCTGGAAGAACACTCTCAACTCTCTTTTTCAGATTTTGTTTGGATGTAGAAAACATCAGGGGATAGTGATCAACAAAGACTGCCTCTTTTTGCATACCCTGGCAAATCTGCATTCTGCAGATGGAACAAGCTATTTCACCTCTGGAACCCCATTCTGTCTCCAAATCGTAGTTAGTGTGTGGAATTCACTGCAACACAATTTAGTAATCATAACTGGCTTAGGTTGCCTTAAAATATTAGACATATTCAAAGAGTATGAAGATGTTTAAATTTCTACTAGTTGCAATGTGTGCAAGTATGGTGGACTAGAATTACAGGAGAGGAGAATGATGGACTAAGACAGGGGTCCTCAAACTTTTTAAACAGAGGGCCAGGTCACAGTCCCTCAAACTGTTGGAGGGCCGGATTATAATTTGAAAAAAAAGAAGAAGAATGAATTCCTGTGCACTCTGCACATATCTTATTTGTAGTGCAAAAAACACTTTAAAACAATAGGATAATTAAAATGAAGAACAATTTTAACAAATATAAACTTATTAGTATTTCAATGGGAAGTGTGGGCCTGCTTTTGGCTGATGAAATAGGATTGCTGTTGTGTGCTTTCAAGTGATTTCAGACTTAGGCAGACCCTGAGCGAGGGCTAGGTAAATGACCTTGGAGGGCCGTATCTGACCCCCAGGCCTTAGTTTGAGGACCCCTGGACTAAGATTATGGGAGAAGAGAGTTTAAACCCCACCCACTAGATAGCCTTCAAGTCACCCTCTTCCCTGCCTAAAAGGAAAAATATGGCAAACCTCCTCTGAATAAATATTGTCAAGAAAACCTTGGAGAAGATTATATAACTTATCGGTTACAGGCACATAACTGATAAACAAATGGAACATCTAGATTTAAAAATATTATGCCATACCAAAAATATGACCATAATCCAGTGATTACCCACAACATCCATCCCACGCCTAAGAGTCTTGTATCCTATCCACTTCCATTGTTGTTCTCCATGGCACTAAAACATCCCAAGGTTTTCCATCTCTCTATAGAATCATTTTAAAGAGATACGGAGGACTATAGAGGTGAGAATGAATCTGACAGAAGTGTTGGGCTTCAATGAAATGACACCATTAGAGCAAGAGCTATGAAAATGAAATTATGATTTATGAAAATGGGATAACAGCAATTCATCTGCTCACTCTACAGAGTTGCTTTTTCTTCTTCCTGAGAGAATGTTGGGAAGCTGCCTTGACGGCCCTCTCCATGCTCCTCGCCGACGCCACTTCGCGGTTCTTCACCAGCCACACACACATCTGTCTGTGAGTAACTCAGCAACTCAAGTCTGTGGCAGAATATAGTGTTCCTTCACTACTTGTATTTTAAATTATTTTTTTACAAAAACCACAAAACAGCGAGTCCACGGTAAGCGAACCACAAAGTACCGAGGGAACACTGTACTTGGATGAGAGACCCCCAACCAACACTATAGGGTGCATTTTAGAGGATGGAACTGGAAGAAACCCACCTCTGAGTATTCCTTTCTGGAAAAAACCCTATGAAACTCCTGAGGTCACCATAAGTCAAAATTTGGAGACATACACACAGACACATTCTTCACCATGCAATTACTGTCAGATTTCTAATTTTATTTTTATATTTTATTTTTAAATTCTCTTAATCCACCAGTAACTCCAAAATGTAAAACAGGATCAGATCCTGGGATATAGTGCAGTGCAGTGCAGTGCAGACCTCAGAAGGGATGAAGTCAGATGACTTCTTGTGTGAGAGAGTTCCCCATTTAGGGTGCTGCTATAGAGGAAAGCCGTGTCCTGCCCCCCATCTCCCCCACACCAGCATCATGTCATGGGGTGGTGGAACCAACAACAGAGCCTTTGCTCAGTATCTCAAATTCCAAGCAGACTCATGGGGATATCAACCATATTGATAAGCTATTTGCAGAGGGGGGAGTAGTAGCAGTCTTTATGATCTCTAAACAGAAATGAAAGCTAAATCTGACTCCCACCAACCCCCCCCCCCCCCTCCCATCCCAGGTCTTACAAATAAAGGTTAGTTTTTGCAATTAAAAACAAACCAATTTTCTGAAAAGAAAAATGGAATTTCCTTTTCTCAACTCAATTTTCTCAACTCAAATACAAGCAGGTAAAAGAGATTTAGTTTCCTTCCAAGCATTTCCAGCAGTACTGACCTCTGTATACATCCGAGTACCTAAACCAATTGTAAAGGTAGTCCTGTAAATGCAAACAAGTTCAGTATTGATCTGCTGTGGAAGAGATTTGAGCCTGAACACTAAAATATAACAAATGGGGTGGAGGTAAAGGGGAGACCAGCTCGATTAGAAGCTTGCTTTTCTATTATTTTGTTTTTGGAGTGGTGAGCTCTTACACAATGGTCCTTGAAAAGGAGTTGTACATACAGCAAAGCTTAGCATTCCACTGAAAGCAGATAATAACTCTAGGTCACCCAGGTGTGTGTGAACCGGAATATTCCCCAGCAAGGGCAGTCAGCCTTACATAGAATAATAATTTAGAACAGATAGCTGGTCTGCTATCAAATTCATGTTGTAAGGTTCTGGACGAGTTACTGTTATTTAGTCTTAGTAGTCCAACTGTAAAATAGGGACAATTTGACCTACTTCACAAAGAGTTTGCAAGAATAAAAATGACAAATACCTTGATTTAGAGCTAAGGCAGGTCATTGCATTTTTTCCCTCTGTAAGGTGAGCTCCCTTCTTCCACAAATTCACATTTTAAAAAACAATCTAAGTTTCAAATGAAATTAAAAGCTTTGGAAGGAGAATAAAGAATGGTTATTGACTTATTTTAAAAAAACACACACAGCTCCTGCTTATATACCAATTCATTTTAAGCAAATTTTGAGTGTGTTAGTTTTTATATCTTTGTATATGCCTTTCTCTGTATTTGCTCTAGTTATTGTAAGCTGCTTTGAATCTCAGTTTGAGGAAAGGGGAGGATATTCAATATGACTATCTGCAGGGGGAACATTCATATGACATGCTTTGCCCATCGTACGCCGCTTCCTTGTCCCTTTCACCATGGAGTCCATTACATGACACACATCTATTTCCGGTAGGGCTCCGTAGTTAAAGGGGTGAGGAAGAGACATACACCACCATGGCAGCAACACAGGAGGCTTCCCATGTTGCCTTTGCTACAATGGCAACATGGGGAATGTGGAGTTCTGGAATAGATATTTTCCTCAGATTTACTGGTATATTTGGCATTATATATGACATTAGATTTCATCAGGTAATTTCAGTATTAAAAATTGGTACAGTAAGCCTCAGCCTATGGAAGCCTTGGTTGTACGACAGGATGTTTTGGTTTGCTTGTTAGCTCAGACCTTTAAAAGGATGAAGAATGCACCTTTTCATACTTTGTGGGCATAACTTCAGTTTACACAGTTTAAGATCTACATCAGATGAAGCATTTTGGTTAATTTTATCTGAGAAGTTCCCAATTTCAAATGCTTATGAGATAAGATTAAAAATGAAACACTCTGAATCTAAAGTCCAGGAAGTCCAATATAATTTCACCTTTCACATCCTGCTTTGCTCTTTAGCTGCTGAATTCCATAGCTCCCAAGAGCCAACTTACAGAGGTGCTGTGCTGTTTGATTTGGCACTGTTCAAGGGCCTTGGCAGATGATCAAATAAAGGGCACAGAAGAGCAAGAAAAGCCTTAAGAAACTGTCTGGGTTGCTGCTGTGGAGGAAAAAGAAAACCCAGAAAAGAGCTGTGCCTATTAGACCATCATACATTTTACCCAGTTTAACTTTTTATGTCTCCACAAAATACATATTTCATTTCCAGATCCTTTCTATGCTTACTCTGAAGTAATCCCAAATAAATGTGCATAGGTTTATATATGGTTTGTTCAGCAGACTTCCTTATTAGTTTTACTTTCGGTGTCAACTCTGGAATGCTTGGAGATTTGTTTTACCATCGCAGTATCCTCCAAGAGACCAAAACATTTGGGGCTTACGGTCTTACTGCTGTATTGAGAAAATTTTTATCTTAAGATAAAATTTACCTTTCCTTGTCTTTTTCTGCATGAGCTCTTAAGTCTTAAACCATAAGGTCTTCAAAGCATTCCAACTCTTAGTATCATAAACTGGCCTAGATATCCTTTTACCTAATTCAGAACTCTGGGGAGGAATGCAACATAAATTTGAGGATTTCAAAAGAACTTTTGCTTGTTCAGAAATACTCAGAAAGAACACACTTTCTACAGTCCAGAGAGTCTCATTGCTTGGCAGACATTTTAGCATTAACAAAATATAGCTAAACATTCAGTAGTAATGTTATACATGATGTATAAAATTTTGTGTGATCCATTTGACCATGTTTATTTTGTCAACAGTCCCTTAGATATTCTAAAAGCAAGGAGAAGATAAATCCCAGGAGAACAGTTTTCCCAGGAATTTCAAATGTTCGTTGCAGATTTTCACCAGCCTTCGCTCAACCAGCTTACATTGCAGCTGGGACCTCAGAACTGAAGGGCAATATAGTTCACTATATCCTACTCTATTTCACAGATGAAAACAGGACATATGTAGCCAAGCCACATCAGCACATGGTCAAGATAGCATAAAATATTGAGTACAGTTTTTGCACATTTTGGTAGGCATGTTCCTCAATGCATCTATTTTTACATATTTTTCCCATTGACTAAGGTGTGTTCATGTGTATTTTTCAATTATTCTACCTGACTTCTGTGTTTGAAATACAGGAAAGGGGGAATAGTCATACACAGAGTCCTTCACTATGATTTCATGACTTCATTCTTGTATTTATGTAGTCCATCTTTCAAAAACCTCACACTCTCATATGTTATGACTCAAGCCGAAACAGCCTTTTATTCTTCTGCATGGAATATTTTGGGTGGAGTGTCCCTCTTCAGATAGCCTGGAGAACTATGTATATTGTAATAACTGTTCTTCTTCAAGGAAACCTCTTGTATCCTGCCAATGAACTCGTGTATATGATATACTTTTAGAAGGAGAGCAAATATTTGAGCTGTGGGTCAAAATCTGTGGATTCTCAGAGCACTTAGCTAGATCAAAGATCTAGCATTAGATTAGAATCAATATTGCATATTGCCGCAGAGATGACAAGGAATACTCTGTCAACTGTGTTATATTCAGGGGCAACAACAGTCATTAATGTGTAAGAAAGTCAATTCCATGAAGAATCAATTTCTTTAAGAGATTAGAACAGAATTTACAGATCCTTCTACTCCTAAGAGAAGCATGTGGCAGATGCTAAATGTCATGAGCTCACCTACTGAAAATTAAAATCTACAATATTTCTTTCAAAAAACCTACTCTGGAAATTGTATTTGTTTATGATGGATACACTAAATCCCACAGATCATAGAATCATAGAATCAAAGAGTTGGAAGAGACCTCATGGGCCATCCAGTCCAACCCCCTGCCAAGAAGCAGGAATATTGCATTCAAATCACCCCTGACAGATGGCCATCCAGCCATCCAGCCTCTGTTTAAAAGCTTCCAAAGAGAGAGGGTAGAGAGTTCCACTGCTGAACGGCTCTCACAGTCAGGAAGTTCTTCCTCATGTTCAGATGGAATCTCCTTTCTTGTAGTTTGAAGCCATTGTTTCGTGTCCTAGTCTCCAGGGAAGCAGAAAACAAGCTTGCTCCCTCCTCCCTGTGGCTTCCTCTCACATATTTATACATGGCTATCCTATCTCCTCTCAGCCTTCTCTTCTTCAGGCTAAACATGCCCAGCTCCTTAAGCCACTCCTCATAGGGCTTGTTCTCCAGGCCCTTGATCATTTTAGTTGCCCTCCTCTGGACACATTCCAGCTTGTCAATATCTCTCTTGAATTGTGGTGCCCAGAATTGGACAGCTTACAATCTAACAGCAAAATAGTGTCAGGCCAAAATGACTGCATAAACAACCAAAGCAGTTGGTTAAGGACTTCATCAGATGCATTGCAGAAAGTGTGTGTGTGTGTGGGGGGGGGGGGTGTCTTCTTAGCAAAGTGTATCATTTCCTTCCAATTTTAAATATATTGTTTTGTTTTACAATTCCCATCGGATACTTTATGTTCTCCAGCCTTTCTCCCATTCTGTCCCATGTTCTGAACCTCACAACTGTGTGCAATCCCTGCCCAATCTCTAACCCTATCCCACTCCACTTTAAAAAAAATCAAGAATTTTTTTTAAAAGGTAGCTATATTGCAATCTCAAAAGCCAAGATTACTATGGACCTCATTCCATTTGGGGGGAGAGGAGGAGCAGTGAAATTTTAAACCCCT